AACCCTGCTCGGCTAAGACAATGGATCTACTTGATGTCTCACTTTCTGCTCGGAAGTGAAAGCACAATCGATAACAGCAGGCAATCGGCTACTATTAGAGCGGAGTTCATTAAAATTGTGTTAGATTGGTTGATTATTCTACCAAAGGGCAATACACATTCTAGACTCATCAAAGGAGGACTTAGTCAGTGCAAGACCGTGCGGGTGCATCAGAAACACAGCAAAATGACCGCTCATTTGGCTGAGATGTGCAACCAACATTACAAATAACACATGCGGCATGTTTCTGAGATCCGTATAGCGCAATAGTTTGGGTTTCGTGAAAAATGATGACGGCAACTCCCGATTGAGTCTGGTGCTTGGTGCATCCGAAACAGACGCGCCATCGAGGCAAGATGAACTGCATACACACACCAACGGCGAATTACTCAGATTATGGGTAAGGGTCAACTGCTGTGTCGAAACATGATGGGCATTCGCATCACATAGTTGAACCCGTATACCAGTGTCAAAGCCCGAATCCGATGAGTACCCTACATTCACAGACATGGTTAACTCCCCTAAGTGATGCATAGTTGAGTTGCAGTGTAGGAACTTTAAGCTCTTCCGTCACACTAATATAGTAGATTTTATGCAATCCTAGTTCAAGTCATCATATACACAAGCCATTTTAAGTTGCATAAATTTATTCAATGAAAAATGATTTATCACGAGGAAAACACGTACCTAACAAGTCCCGTAAAACGATTATGGTGAAAAACCAAGATGGGTGTCATCAGTTTAAGCGTCCACCGCTTTAAACGCGCTGCCGCAAGATGACAGTGTGAAATAGGAATTGAAATAAACACACAAACCAATGTGGGGAACAGTTAATATTGACGTTTTCTCAAGAGTATCCGTCTGATGTGTAAATCCAGTATAAGGGTATCATAGAGATAATCCACAATGGCAGTTTATATAACGAAGTGCTTGGAGCTAAGAGCAACAGCCAATCGTCTTTGAAGGTGTCCAAAGGAGAAGAGAAAACAATTGTGTTTGTGAAAGTTCCAGAATTGGCAACTCCGAAGGAAAAAATAGTTACGTCATCACTGAACGGCCATATTGTCCATTCGGTTTCAAGCGATTAGTTCCGAGATTGCTATTGTGGCTGAGCGTCAGCAAATGGCAGCATACGTGATTGGGATCACACAATATTTCGTATAACAATATAAAATCCTCGTTTAGCCGTCGGTAGTGTCCACAGAAAACTTCAATAGTTCCAACCTTTGCCGATAAGACTGATTGTGCAAACCCAATGACGTTCTTCGGCGTCCTTAGCACCTCGAAGTCGCGTTTCAGACGACATTATCAAGTTAGGATAGCATATTCGAGGTCAGGGTGGGCGTAAGCGTTGTGCGTCATTGGGAAGATTGATCAAGCAAAACTCTTGAATTCCCTCCGAAACAGGCCGACGTGTTGGTTGCCTCTTTTTGCAGCCCATTCAGACTGTTTTGAATGGCCAAGACCATGTGTGAATGTACATATATATATATATATATATATATATATATATATATATATATATCTGTCGATTCCGGTTAATAGGACCAGCCGCTTATTCGGGCCAAATTCTGAAGAACCGAAACGAATCCTATTACGCTAGCCTAATTTTAGCCGCTTATTAGGACCGGAATTCCGCTTAATCGGATCAGACGATAGAAGGTGGCAGGTAACAGAGGTGTTAGAATCAAGCTCTGTTCCTGGATGTCTGGACTAAACCCACAGTTCATATGTCGGGCAAGAAAGTGTATCATTCACTTACGGTAATCTGAGTTGGCCTTTGGATAAACTGAACTGTGGCAACCTTGAGGCACATCTATCTAATTGACTTCAGAACCGCCCGAAACTGACTGTAGTTTCCAACACTTGTAAGCGGAGCGAAGACACATGCTTGTTCACATGTCGTTAACCGCTCGATCGATGTACCGCACGTCCATTGAGCCGAATGCCCTGAGCCCGCATTGCGGGCCTACTCTCGAGCACGGCAAGTGATCGCGGACACACAGGTCCGGCAAATCATTGGACAGCAGGTGGCTAGGTCAACCATAGAAATACCCGGGAGACAGACTCGAGTTCACCTCAGTGAACTGTGCGTCTTGTTGCATGTTAAGAAAATGCCACGACGGGACTTGACGTTAGCTGAGAAGATTCGTTTCCTAGACCAGATCAAGGAACAGGGACCAACCACTAGTCAGCGTCGATTGGTGGAAATTACCTGCTTGGCAAAATCTACAATATCACGCCTGATAAAACAAGAGAAAGATCTGCGAGAAGAATGGGCACAATGTGAAGGACGACGAGGTACTTCCCAAAAACGGAAGCGTGAAGGCAAGGATCCAGACTTCAATGAGGCCCTTAATGATTGGTATGCCTTTGTTAATGGACGACCCGTGCGAGTAAGTGGCCCAATGTTACAAAGCAGAAGAACTCGCTAAAATGCTGGGCCACGAAGATTTTATAGCTACGGACGGCTGGTTGTCTCGATGGAAATCTAGACATGATGTAAAATTTAAGAAAGCACATGGTGATAAAGAAAGTGCCAATAGCGCTCGTGCTGAAGAATGGAAATCAACAAAACTACCAGAGCTTCTTGAAAAATTTCCAGCAGATGACATCTATAATGCTGATGAAACCGGGTTGTAATATAGAGCTACACCGGACGGCTCCTTAAATTACAAACATGTTACTCTCTCTGGCTGCAAAAAAGCAATGGATCGCGTAACTGTCTTGTGCTGCCCAAACATGTCCGGAACTGACAAGAGGAATTTGCTGATTATAGGAAAATGTGCCAAGCCTCGCTGCTTTAAGGGACTCAGAATGGACAGTTTACCAGTTGTGTATCGTGCGAACAGAGATGCATGGATGAGCTCTACACTTTTTAAAGAATGGGTGAAGGATTGGGACACAGAGCTACAACGCCAGTCGAGAAAAGTGTTATTACTTCTCGACAATTGTGCAGCACATTCAGATTTGGATTTCTTGAAGAATATCCAGATGGAATTTCTGCCTCCCAAGACCACGTCTAGGATACAGGCAATGGACATGGGCATCATAAAAAATTTGAAGACCTTTTATCGTTCAAGGTTGGTGAATTACATCCTCGAATCAATTGGAGAAGGCTTGCTGACCTCATCCTCGACGGCCGGAGAAATCAGCGCAAAGGTCAACATTTTGCAAGCCGTTACATTCGTGGCCGAAAGTTGGCGAAAAATGAGCAGTGCGACAATTCGGAACTGTTTTTCTCACTGTGGCTTTAAGCATATTGTTGCGGAGATGGATGTAGATATGGTGATTGTAAATGAAAATGACGGCGAGAATGTGCAGCTGAAACAAGTTGAAAATTACGAAGAATATTTGTCAATCGACAACGAACTTCAACTCTATGATGGAAATAAAGAATGCGATGCTGCCATTGTTGCTCAAATAGAAGTGAAACACACGACAGCAACAGAAGACCATGGAAGTGATGAAGAGAACCCTAACGTGTTGATGCCAGTCACAAAACAGGATGCAAGGAAATGCATTGAAACATTGCACCGCTATTTCATACAGGAAGGAAATGAAGGTAGCCCTATTACTGCGTTATATGTTTGTGGTGATTTTGTGCGAATGCAGTCTGTTAAAAGAATGCGTCAAACCACACTGGATACGGTCTTCAAACGCTGAATGGAATTCGGTAATCCCTTTGTATAAAACTGTACTTCTCATGCTGAATATCTTGTAGGTCGTTACGAAGAATTTGTTTGTAAATTTCTTTTTCAGTGAACAAAGTTCGTTATCAAAGCAGTTCTTTTTGTGTTTGCTATAAATGTATGCCGCCAATACAGGTCATAATGGTAGTTTCCTATGTTATGTATAGCACGTCCCATCTTGTTACATCGGGTAACTTCGGTTAATCGGACCAGCCGCTTAATAGGACCAAAATGGTCTGGTCCCGATGTGATCCGATTAACCGGAATCGACTATATATATATATATATATATATATATATATATATATATATATATATATATATATATATGTGCATGGATTGTCCGAAATGATTATGCGGCCTACGCTAATCATTTTGAGAGTTATCCGGTCCACGTTTGGTGATCCCTGATCTAAGCGATCAAAACCTTTTGTAAAGTGCACATAGATAACATTGACTACCATTTTAGCGTCTGCTGTTTACAATGCCACCGTTCGGGCGGTGTTGCTATATGAAAGCGAGTGGATGACATTGACCGGCTCTCGGCCTTTGATAATGAGTGTTCGAGGAGAATTGCTCGTGTGTGGTGACAACGCATCTGCAACAGTGAAGTCAGACGTCGTGTCTTGGGGAACGAGTGTATTCCCTTTAAGAACCGGGTTTTCTGAGTCAGTTAGGGTGGCTCGGTCATGTGCTGCGTGTCAGCTGAGCGTTTGTCCCACTGCACCCTTTTCGATTGTGCAGGATTTGGCTGGAAGAGACCCCGCAGTGGTTAGCCAACTACCTGGCGAAAACATGAAACTGTTGACTTCACGTCTTGCCGCTGTTGGATCTATACGTCTGCCTGGTCAGCCGGTGGCCGAAAGGATTGCACGTCCGGCTTGCAAACCTTAGGTGACCGACTAGAATACGCGTAGGAGTGGGTGTCCTCGCGGTATACTCAGCCCACACGCGACCGGTGGTGGTCGCATGGCAGTGAAGCGTCGGTTCAATGTGTCGACGTACTGCTGATGACTTTTTCTACCTGGTTGGGGACCAAAGGATGAGGATACGACGCGCAATCGAAACCAGTGGTAGGTTTGTATACATACTTGTTTAGAATCAGATGCCTAGTGCTTAAAATTGAAAAAGGGAAAAATGGAAAATGGCGCGAACAAAATAACAAAAATATGTTTCGTTTTTATTTTATTGAGGCACAATAGCTGAAATGTGTTGCTCACCTTCAGCTAATGTGCCATGAGGATGCGTTGATTAAACTTGCATTTTTCCAATGATTTCCATGGTTTTGTTTGGCTTTGCCTATTCGTTAGACTTGCAAATACATACATAGTACCGAACAGCATTGTATGGAATAACGAAGAAACTGATACGCCAAACATACATTCGTAAACAAGAGAGACACTGTGTTACGGTAAATTTCTGTTATCACATACAGGGAGAAAAATAGCAAAGCAAAAGTGGCACAGCCAAGTAATGGGAATAAAAACAAGCAGATCATGATAGAAAAGGGTGCAGGATATGCGAAGTAAAATCCAATCCACCACAACACAGAGAAATGGCAATTTGTGAACAGTGACTCTGCATACCAGCGTCCATGTCTAATAAGTGAGTAGACTCCACGAAGAGCCGCGTGTATCACTGGCACCGATCAAGTGATGCTTGTCCCACCCGACGGCAGCAACACGCCCTCGCCAGATTCCTACGTATTCACCCATGTGGTGTCCGCGAGCAGCAAGATCATCGATGACTTGCTGCTCGTATCCGGTTTCGTACAACACAGAAACGACGGTATTGTTCTGCAGATCCGTCGTTGCATTCAAAAATAAACGGGGTAAATCGACGGCAGCCTTTGCATTGATGCACCCCACATTTACTGCTGGAGTATAATCGCTCAGAGTGGAGGATGCCCCAGAGTCGGACCGGTGCGTTGAGTATGAAGGATGTGAGGCAACTGTGGATTGGGGATAACAACCACTGTGGCGCAGAAACAACGCTGCGTTGGCAAGAACCTGAGGAAGATGGAAAACCGGACGGATACGGTGCACATTCACACATGCAAATTGCACATCGTATTCAATTAGTATTACAGTAAAAATCAATCACACAACTGACTCGGTTGGTATTTTGTGTTAAATTACCCAGGCAGGCCCAAATGACTCATAATAGTTTGACTGCACTGGTTCACAGTTAGCTGGGGTTGCCTACCAAGTGTTACGGGAGATTCGTTGGTGCGCCGTCGTGATATGGAGCAGCGAATCGCAGACCGTATAAACAATGTGCTGATTGTCTCAGGGATCAATTTCCTCTAACAAATACGCTTGCAAGCGAGGACTAGGTTTGTTCATTAAGCGCCAGAGTTGAGGGAAAATAATGTGCATTCATTTAAATTAAGTGCAATTTCACGCCGTTCGAGGAAGAGTAAGGTGGACATATATAACAGCAGAAACAACGGGAGCTACATGTCGGCTAATACTGATGGATTGTCCAAATGCGATAAAATACTGCGCGCTGAAATCAAGATGACGCACCTTCACATTGACAGCCAGTGAGTATCGGTTTAGTGCCGCTTGACATGCTTGTGAGCTGTCACAGTTTAGTATGTGTTACGACTGAAAATTCACCATTCCTGGGGACATAAGAGCGCATTCCTGGCTTGAGTTGAATACAATAAGCATATTCTAAGTCTTGGATGTGACGAATATCTACCCATATAATATTCTAAGTCGAAAATCCAATCAGTTGGAAGCAACTCCACACCGAAGTCGAGTCCAGTGAACGCAATTTCCATACCTTAGTCAGTGCGAAGTTAAAAAGAAAAGTTGATAGCGGACATACTTGTCTTACAATGTGCCATAGGCCCTTACTCTACTCGTATGGAAGACACCTTTGACATCGAGGAACAAGTGAAGAGTGCGTCACCAATAAACGTGGTGGCGTTCTAATAACTAGCAAAAAAGATGGCGCGATTATTTCGGCCACTGTTTGGACGAAGCTCGGTTTTCTCTGCGTGAATCTGATTTTCGCGTCAATCATTACATGAAGAACTACAGAGTTAAGCAACCTAGGAGAGTGGAGATCAGAATGATCCCTCTTATGTTACATCCCGAGCGTGAACCCATATTAAAGACTGGCACGAGAACGTAGATGCTCTAGCCGCTTGGGAAGGTTTCATGACCCCAAAATTTTACTGATAATACTATCAGGCCGCCAAATTTTAAGAAGGTTGTCCATAAGACCTTATCCTATTTCGAAAGTTCGATCTCAGGTTCGAGTTCTCTGCACGTGGCCAGATCCAAAGAACGATTCGCAGATCAGGGTGAGCACTAGCCGGCAAAAAACTGCCACATCTACTTTCAGTGTGTTCAGTCCAACGCTCTAGGCGTTTTGACATGTCGTCACATATAGCTTCGCCAACACCGGGGTTCCTGCTGCCCGTTTCCAAGGTGGGACGGAATACCTTTTCACAGTTGACGGGATCCGTAAATAATCCTACCTCCGACACACGGTGGTTCCACTAGGTTACACAATCGGTTTTCAGACCAGCACTCAATTCAGGCCGGCCGTCGCCCAAAGGATCAAAAGCCTGCCTTGTAATCTGAGAGCGGGTTCGAGCCTGTGTAAGGGACGGAACGACCGTCGCAGTATTCTTAGCCCACGCACGACTGTTGGTGGTTGCGCCGCAGCGAAGCTTCGGTACTACGTACCGGCGTACCCCTAGTGCCCCGTTTATCCTAAGATCCTCGTGGGTCTCCTATTCGCTGCCACCCGGAATGACAACATCGGAAAATTCCAAAGGATGCTTAGAGACCCATTCCCCAGGCCATCAAACGACCTTGACAGCGAAAACCTACCCACCATCATAAGGTCTGGTGAATATGTAACCGGTGGTCAGCTGTGCTCAGTGAGCGTCTACTCAGCTGGCATGCCAGAGTACGTTGATACGCAATCAGAACATCAGGCTTCGTCAGTTGGCAAGTGTAAAAGGGCCCACGGCGCATGCGCGCGTCCGCTGAAATGCACCTAGACATAAGAACAGAAAAGTGCATCGCCTGAGTCAACGTTTGTGCTCCAAATCTAGCGCTGTCCACATCCACCATCGACAAGCCTAGATCTACAAACTAGGGCGCACAATCTGCAGACAAGCTCTCAGGAATCTGACTTCAGTATGCTCGTACAGGACAACCTCGGGTGTTCTAAACAGTTAGAGTCCGCCTAAAAGAGAGAAAAACAGCAAGCTGGTTTCCTGCGGAACGCACTCGAGAGTTTGGATTTATCCATCCTCTCTCTGATGTTCAATAGATATGTGCGTCCCACGTTGTATACGCAACGAAGGCTTAAAAACCTTGACTAAAGCATGACCTTGTGGCACTCGAAATGTCGAGCAACAAAATTTGCCAAGGGATTGCCCAACCTTCCTTACCAGTAAAGACTGAAAACACTCGGAGTGTTCAGTGGACGCTACCGGCGGCTACGTGGAGACCTCATATTAGTGTACCAGATACTGAGCGAGCACAATCACGTATGGCGCCATCTACTGAAACTCAGCCCGAACACCAACCTCAGAGACAATAGCCTGAAACTGAGTCAACACAACAGTCGTCTAGATTGTCGACGAAATTACTTCTCCGTTCGGGTCTGCCAACCCTGGAAGACCTTTCCAATCTCAGTCGTCTGTGCCCTCACCTTAGTTGTTTTCAACAAGCGATCGGGTATCGAATTGAACGCTCAACACTTTGTTACTTGAACGGATGTATTGGATTTATTCCGGTTAATTAGCCACTTCGTTGTTATGACCCACAGTAACACACGTAAATCTGTGCAGAGGGATGAGCAATCTCTTTGCTATTTGCAATGATTAGTAACCATTACACGTCGCTATTTTGTTGTATCTGGTACCATCTCACTCCCACGACCCTCCTTCTATACGCCATTACTCTGTCGCTTTACCGATGCACATTTTATTCGGTCCATTGATTTGCCGTTTGAATTGCAATTTCTACCATTATCAACCTACAGGATATGTTAGGCTTGTGCTTCTTGACCCGTTATAAGCCATTGACAGTTTTGTACACAGCGCCTTTTAAGGGTTACTCATCGCGACGTGATGAATTTACTAGGGTGCCAAACTTAGATGGCGTATTTCACATGTGGTCTCACGTAAGCGTTGAGTATTTGCGAACATATTGTAGGATCAAAACGAGCAAACACTCTCCGCATGACGCCCCCATGTTCATTTGTTTCTCACGCTGCTATTCCAGTCTTTTAGACGGCCGAAATCCTCCTGAACAAGAACCACAATATCACTTTATGCGAAGCGTGTCGAAAACGTGCTTTATGGCCAGGTGCTCTGGGAGCGCATGATCAGCACTTTACATTTCAGTTCAATCCATTTGAAAAACCATGTTCCGGGCACTGAAGTGCGGTGGATCCAGTTATCGCGACTCCCGTCACCAGAACAATAGAAAATTGCAAGAGGTTTAATGTAAACAGAAAGTAAACAAAGTGGAAACACGGATGTGCTAACTCTATAGAGTGTAATCTCTTTCAGCAAATTCGGCACAATGAGGTCTAAGATTCGTCACAAGGTTGTTATCTTGTATGTTTGGGAAGAGTGGGAGTCAGTGCTGCCCATTGGCCAATCAGACCCAAGGTGTAAACGTTAAAAAGAACCAATGTTGTGAACAATGGCTTATGATAGGCAAAAAAGCATAAGCTTAACATGTCCCGTAGGTTGACAATAGAAGAAACTGAAATTCGAATACTGCAAAAGTGGACTAAATAAAATGTGTAGCGTTAAAGCGATAGAATAATGGTATAAAAATATGACTGCATAAGTGAGATGGTATCGTGCAATAAAGAACAACAAGTTGCTATGCCTATAGCATAAAACAATCGGATTGCTCACACATCTGCACAGATTTATGTGCGTTACCATGTGTCCTAATTCCAACCAGGCTAGTTAGACTGAATATATCCCCGAATATCCGTTCAGCTAACCAAGTGTAGGGCGTTCAATTCGATATGTAACCGCATTTTGAAAATGGCTGGGGTGGGGCACAGACAACTGAGTTTAAAAGACCGTTTCACGGATGGAAGACCAGGGGGGAGAAATACGTTCGTCGACAATCCACAAAACTGTATTGCTGATTCAGCTTCAGGCTATTGCCTCCGAGGTTGGAGTTTGGGCTGACTACAGGAAATAGAGGGTTAGTAGATATACGTCTGTGTTGTTTCATCATAGCTATTTCGAGCACGTGCGCTGAGTCGCGTCACTGGTTTTTGCGTGTTCGCTGCATGTTACAGCTGCGCCATATGCTATTCGGGGGCGATGTGCTCACTAATTCTGAAATCCGCAAAGTAGGCGTCTAGAAACGCTTGACTTCCGACACCGAATTCGCCCCGCTGTTTCTAAAGGTAGCGGTACACGTGAATGGGGACGCTCAGTACTTGGTATACTAATATGAGGCCTCTGCGCAGCTGCCAGTAGCATCCAGTGAACACTCCGAGTCACTTCAGTCGTTCCTAGCACAGAATTTTGCTCAAACTGTTGACGTTTTTCGTTGATCGATGTTGCATGGCCTCGAGCGCTGCGAGGCCACGCTCTGGCCAAGCTTGCCAAGCCTGGGTTGCGTACTCGACGAAGAGCGCAAGTTGGCCTTGAGCATCAGAGAGAAGATGGATGAATCCAAACTCCTGAATGCCCTTCGCAAGAAACCAGCATGCTGGTTATCTTTCTTTTAGGCGGAGTGTAACTGGAATTCAAGTCACGTCAAGTCAAATAAAGCTTTATGTATCTAGATGCGTACATTTTCAGCACTTTACAATATCGACAACGGATGAGTTAAACTTATATTATCAAAAATAAATTTATAAATATGGATAACAGGACACTGGGTAGAAGTGTCATATAAATAAACGATCAGTGTAAAACTGCAACAATTAAACAGTTTCGGACAAAAAAATTTAAAGCCAGCTTTGCAAGCTAGACTTTAAATGGGGACCGTCCACC